TAGACTGTCATGGGCACTTGCCCTAGGAGAACCACGGCTAGACTGTCGTGGGCACTCGTCCTAGGAGAACTACGGCTAGACTATTGTGGGCATTTGCCCTAGGAGAACCACGGCTAGACTGTCTGTCGTGGGCACGCACCCTCGATTGTCCAAACTCACCTTCTTTGGAGACCTCCAAGAACAATATGCTGGTTCAGGGGACAAGATGCCAGGGCTGACAAGGAAAGAAGCGGGAGCAGGGGGCAAAGCCGGAGCCAGAGATGGGCCTGAGGCTGAGATCCATGGATCTGAATCAGAGGCTGAAAAGATAGTGGAGGACCCTGACTGGACCAGCAGACCGCAGGCTAGTTAGGATGGAGAGTGGTTACGGGAAAGGAGGGCCAGCCTAGAGCAAGAAGCCTAGCCCAAGTTGTCCAGCTGGGTTCCTGGACTCCTGAGGACCCAGATCTTCACATTTTTGAGAAAGGAAGAAAGTTTTGTCCTCAGCAGGAGGTCTGTTTGCTTTGGATCACAGCGATCTAGTAGTGTGTTCCTGGGGCAGAACCAGGTGATACCTGCACCCCGTGATTCCAGGGAAACGGACAAGCCAAAAAACTATATTCAGATGATTGAGTGTGGGAGAGGCTGGAAAGATTAGGGCATCTGGGGTGGGAAAACTAGGGAGAGCTCAATGGGTGGGGTGGCCCAGCTGACTACAGAGTTTCCTGAAAGTGACAGGCTGGGATTTCACTGTTTGGGGGCAGGCATGGTCCTTGGGTACTGAGGCCACCATCCCTTCCCTTTGGGGGCCCCCACTTACTACAGTCTTGATTCCGTCTGTGGATCCGAAGCTGCAGGACTGTGTGGAAGGAAGTGAGAGGTGGGACAAGGAAGGCAGGAAGGGAGTGTCCAGAGCCTGGCTTGGCTGATGGGTGGGAGCTACAGTTGTTGGCGGGACACACGTGCCCAGCCCCTTCACACTCCCAGGGCGGGTGGGCGGGCAGCCTGTTCCCTCTCCCTTCCCAGGGCCTCTTGCTTGCTCCTGCCAGCAAAGCATCTTGGGTCAGAGCCACTCCTGAGGCTGTAAGCCAGCCAGCCTGCAACCAGGAGGTAGCCATGCTCCTGGCTCCACCTGCCACTTCAGGAGTCTGTGCCCACCCTGGTACTGTCGCCATCTTGCCAGGCTGACCCATCAACACCTCACTTCCTTTCATCCATGCACCCCTTTCTGTGTTGCCCTGGCACTCCACACAGCCGGCACTCTGCAAACCTACCCCTGAAGCTCAAATCTCCCTTTGCACAGATGCTGCTTTCATGATTTTCCACCCTGGCTTCCTCTTCGCTGGCATGCATCCACATGAATGCTACTCACTCAAGCCTTGACCCTCTGTTTTGGAGCAAAGATTACCCAGTGCACATGTCTGCCCCTTTCTGAGTGCTCAGAGCTGTTTGATTTGGCCACAGATCATGACTAATAACACTTTCAAGGTTTGATACTCTTGGTCCCCAGCCATTCATCCACGCCACTCGGGTCCCCCTGGGCTCTTCCGCTTTGCCTATAGGTCAATTTAAGTCCTTTGCAGCACCGCAGCCTTGGGTGTCCCCGCCTGCGGCTTAGCGGGCCATGTGCTTGCCCACTTTACTCCATAACATGCATAACCTTGTGAGCTCCATGGGTCCCTCTGGCCACCCAAGGGGAGTGTCGCTGGGACCCTGGGCCCTGGATCCAGGACCCCTCCCCACATGCTCTTAGACAAGCAACCTCTCACCAGAGCGGAACTTGGAACGGATGATTTGGGAGCGCTGGGAGGAGGCTGCCAGGGTCATTGCCAAAGCTGGGGTGGAAACCTGGACAGAGAGGAAGGCAGGGCCGCCGGACAGCGGGGTCAGAGTGGATGACAGAAGATTGCCGTTCAGGGGAAATTTGGGAGACAATAACTGATTGGAGACAGAAGTGAGTACTGGGCAAACTTCTGGACGGGGTAGGGTCTTACATACCCAGGTCTAGGGGAGGACAATGGGCCCTGAACCCCTGGGTCTGAGAAAGGAGGGCTGGGACCCAGACCCATGGTGTGAGAGACCAGAGCTAGGGTTTGGACCCCTAGGACTGAGGGTGGAGGGCTGAGGCCGGAGTTCTGGGTTTGAGGGAGGGAGTTCTTGCTCATGGACTACTGTGTCTGAAGAGGGGGCCTGGAGTCCTGAGTCTGAAGCGAGAGGGCTGGGGTCTCAGCTCCTGGACCTTGGTGGTGGAGGAAGGATGAGTCATGGACTCCTGCATCCTAAGGACAGCATTGGGATCTGGACCTCGGGGTCTTTGAAAGGGCAGGAAGCAGTCGTCGGGACTCTGAATCCTGAAGGAAAAGGAGGTTAAGGACTAGAATCCAAGATTCTGGGTCACCAGGGAATCAGAGAGGCTGACGGGTGTCTGGGCAATGCAGGGGTTCCTGCAACAGACACCTAAAACAGAATGGTTTCAATGTCATGCACCAGGCTCTGTGGAAAAGGCATTCGGACCAGAAAGGGGAACCAAAACGGTGAATGAAGGGTAATAAGGAGGGTCCCTGTCTCCACCCCAGGGGCTTCTCACCAGGTGGGCTCCGCTCAGCTACTCAGCTGTGCCTTGAAGCGGGTGGAGTCTCCCGGACTGGCCTGGAGACCTCAGGCTCCGCCCACCAGCCTAGGGCCGCCCTCGACTCCCCTTCTGGGGCAAGTGAGAGCGTGGGGAGCCGGCCTTGGGTCAGAAACCCTGTCAGGGCCCGGAGAAGGGGCGGGCACACACGCGGGGAGGATCAGGGCGGGTTCACATCCGAGGGTCCCCCTACTGTCTCCTCCCCCGCGTCCTGGGCTGTTGGGTTGGGTGGGGCAGCCACAGGCGACAGACAGGAGCAGGTGCAGGGAGAGGGACCCGGGTGAGCTACAGCAGCAGGTGGTCGCGTTCGGACCCTGCCGGCAGGTGCCACCTGTTGGGTTTTTTTTCCTGACGCAGCAGTAGGAGTCAAATTCAGAGGAGGGGAAAGTTCAAACATGAGGCCCAGACCCCTGGTTCTAAGGAAGGAAAGGACAGGAGTCAGAGAGAAGGACTGGGACTTAGGTCCCTGGGTAAGAAGGAGGACGACTGAGGTCTGCATTCTTGCATCTTATGGAAGAGGACTAGGACCCAAGGGTCTCTGAGGGTAAAAATGTGCTGGGTGTGGGAATTCAGCAGTGTGCACAGTAGGTAGACAGTATCGGAAGGACTAGGGGAGGGAGAAGGCTGGAGTTGGATTGTGGGTAGGAGGGAGATGGCCTGTTCCGCCGGCGGTACACAGGGTCTGGTACTCGGCAGAGCACGGTCTGGGCTGCGTTCCGAGTTGTGTGGCAGGGTTCAGTGCTCCAGGGTCACATTTCGTGCTAGAGGGCAAGCTGAGGCCATTGCTAGAAATATCTCCCCAAACTCGGCCAACACCCAACGTTCCAAGCACAGGCCCTGGCATCTTAAAAATCGTCCTCTCTAAGGTCCCCAAGTCTTGACAAGCAAGGTCAATACCACAGATACTTTTATTACTTCTTGGCATTCACATCCCAAGCCCACCTTCCCACAGTCCCATCGTCTACCAAGCAGACAACTCAACCTCCCAGCGGTCTACGCGGAGAAAACTACAACTCCCAGAATGGTCTGCGCCCAGGCGAGCTCCCAAAAGAACCCATGCAGTTTCAAGCTTCGCGCGTTCCTTTGTCATTGGCTTTCAAGGCGACGCAGCCACCGGAGGTCCGTGGCGGTGATTGGCTGGCAGCTCCTGCTGCTCAAGGTCCCAGAGGAGGCGACGGAGCCTGCGTAGTTCTCGGTGCAATGAGTCATCTGTCACCAGGCCCGTGAGGCGCAGGCGCGAGCTGCCCAGGGGCAGGATGAGAGGAGGGTGCGAGGAAAAACTTTCAAAGATATCCCCTGTGAGGGCGAGGAAGACCGAGTTAGAGATTCAGCATGGATGTGAGGTGGCCTAGCTCCTGAAGGAAAAAAACAAAACAAAACAAAACAAAAAAAACTTGCAAATTCCAGCATCAAATGTGGTTCTCAGGGTCACAAAGCATGATGGGAATTGTAGTTAAGACTAGGAAAATAAAAAAGGACTATTACCAGGCTGTGTAGTTGGGGCCCTGGAACCTTGAGGATGGGCAGGGAAATCTTGGAAGATTTCTTAGGGCAGAGGAGCCCAATTGCTATGTAAGCAGGGTTGGGGTTAGGTCTGTGGAGGGAAGGGGCTAGGGATTTAAGTCTAAGTAAAAAATAATTAAATGCTTGAACTCTTAATGTACTGGGAATGGATCCTAGGGTAGTAAAGCCCCGCTGCTGTGTTATAAGCCCAGGCCCTAGTCTTTAAATCTTGGCGAGAAGGTTTCTGGATAGAACAATTCTAGGTTCTGGGAAAGGAAAGGGGCTGGATTCGCATCCAGAATCCTGGGTGAGAAAAAGGCTGGGGGCATGGACTCCAGGCCCCAAGGGAAGAAGACATCTCAAAGTTCGTTAGCCTATTTCTGCACACCTGTGTCCACAGCATCTCGCTCAGCAGGTGGCGGGTCCCAGGCTGGAGGTGGTCCACGGCCAGGACCCAACTGGTAGTGGCTAAGGAGATGGTGGAGTTGAGCAGGAGTCAGGGTGGGGTAGTCAGTCCGTAGGCTGCTCCAGGAAGCCTAGGGGAAGGCCAGGTTAGAAGTGTGTGGTCCCAGTTGGGCCCGGAAGATCAGGCCTGACATCTCAGCTTCTTAGGCCGAGGCAAGAGGAGTCAAAGTACAAGGCCAGTTTGGGCAACATAGTGAATCTATCTCTAATTTAAAAAGGAAAAGAGGTCTGGAGATGTAGGTTGATGGTAGAGTGTTTGCGGAGCACATGCAATGCCCTGGGCCCAACCCCCAATACTGTAATAAGATATAAATAAGTGAAATTAAGGGCCTGGGCTGAAGGCTCAGTAGTTAAAAACACTGACTGCTCTTGTGGAGGACCCAGGTTCAATTCCCAGCACCCACATGGTCTATAACTCCAGTTCCAGAGGATCTGTCTTCCTCTTCTGACATTCCAGGACATAGCACACATATACACATGTAGGCAAACACTCATATACATAAAGATAAATCTTAAAAAAAAAGTGAAGGTCCAGTGTGGCTGTGAACACCTTTAATCCCAGAACTCAGAGGACAGAGGCAGGGGGATCTCTGTGATCCCCAGGCCAGCCTGGTCTACAGAGTAAATTCCAGGTCAACCAGAGCTACATAATAAGATCTTTAAAAACAAACAAACAAAAAACCCCAAAGATTTTGTGATCTATCTGGTTAGTTCTCATCTAAGAAAGTTGATCTAAAACCGTCAGTTGATAGATGGATGCCCTTACTTTGAATGGGGTGTTTGTTACCGCTGTTACCACAGATTCTGCAATGCAGCTCATACTCAGGGAACACTTAACCATCATCTTCCTCGGGCTCAAACCAGATTTGAATCACCACGTCCAAGAGAAGGACCATGGGGAACCATTCCTAGCAAACTCCACTAGCCCTCAGACATTTTCATCCAGCCATTCTTGATTCTGACTTCTATAGCCACCAGCAGTCCATCACAATGTCTAACCTAGGGCTGGCAACGACTTGGGGTCCCTGAGAGGCTGAACAGAGAGGATGGCTGAGCTGCGCTGAAGAGTCAAAGGTCAGTTAGATAGAGCCATTAAGAGTCACCTTGAGCAGGGAGGTGCGGGGCACACATAGCAGGTTCACAGCAATGGAGAGTTTCCGGAAGAACTCGGTGGCAATGTCACCCAGCCCAGCCCCCTGCAGCCAATCCAAAACAAGATCCAAGTTGGTTCTAATTTGGACGGCTCGAGACCATTGATAGAAAGGTCGGCCTTGACCTGGGTAGGAAGGAATGAGAGGCAATGAATGGACCTACTTCACAAAGTCTGACTGGAAACCAAGCTGTCAAAAGCTGAAGCTACCCAAAGCTATGCCTGGCTGCTCCCAGCCCAGCCCTCACCTCGTTCCATCAGCGAGTTGAGGAGGGATGCATTGGAGAAAAAGAATAAGTAGCCAAAAGTCTGGGACACGAGGTCGGGGTGCAGCTCACACTGGCTGGTCAGTTCTAGAGCAGCCTGGAACACTCCCAGGGTAGGCCTGAGTCCGGGCGGCATGGCCTCCAGCTCCGCACCAGGCCCTGGTAGCTCTGCCCCAGCGGTGAAAGGGTTACTGTCCAGGAGAGCTGGCAGTGTTGAATAAAGAGTCTGGGGAGACACAAAGGCAAAGAACTTCAGGGTGACAGTCAATGAAGACAATGGGAATGCCACCAAGGGCTTCTGGGAGTTGTAGTCCATTCTCCTTTCACCAGTCCCATGGAACTCCATAATCAAATCCCTACTTCATAGATGGGTTTCTAGTAGGCATAGGTCTCCTGGAACAATCTGTCCTGAGAAATGTTTTCAGGAAGTAGCTTAGATATTTTACGAGCATCTCTCATGCATTATGGGGTTTGTAGTTCTCACAAAGATAGCTCAGGCAGGATAGAACACTAAACAAAAAATGACCTTTTTCAGTCAAAGAAACATTTGATCAGAATTTCCAAAAGAAATTAAAAGAATGGAGAGCCCAGAAGTAGGAGTTGGGTGGCAGCTGGCCAGTGGAAAATATGATCACACCAAGGACAGGAAATGAGGTCCATGACAAAGAAGACCTAAGAGTATACTTGGCAGAACATACAGGAAGTAAGCCTCAGAGGTAAGGGTTTCACAATCAAGACCACTGCAACCTACGGATTGGACATTTTGGGAGATTCTCTCTTATTTTACAAAATGAACCAGGTATATCATGGTCAAAACCCTGATTAGTCCGATTAGCAATATTAAGGTCAAAGGTAGTAGAGGAGAAATCAAGCCCCACAAGAATACTTCCATAGACAAAAAAAAAAAGGCCTATGCTCAGAATGGGGACATGAAGCCAGAGAGGTAGGAAATGATGTCAGCCAACATGCACGCACGTACACATGCCTTAACAGTAAACTTCAAAAGTGTAAGCTTGAAAAGTAAGTAGTGATTGATAGAGGAGATGAACTACTCAGCTGAACAAGACAGGAGGCTAGCTAGCAAGGACAGGAAATGAACCAGAAAGGAAGTGATGTCAGCCCAAACAGGAAGTAGTGTGTGATCAGAGCAAAGTGCTAGGGTGAGATGGAGTGACTCCAAGGAGAGAGGGGAGTGTGGTGCCAGAGCAGCACAATGTGAGTTTAACTGAGAGAGTATTTCAACAGGCCCACCTTGGTGAGGTAGTAGACGGACTGCTGGAAGGTACACATGATGACCTCATCCAGGAGGGCCAAGGCCTCGTCACACAGTTCCAAGTCATTGCAGAGCTGAGGGTCTGAGGACAGGCCTGGGGACGAGAGAGGAATAGATGCTGGCTGCTGCAGCCTACGTCTCCAGGCTCAGGGGATGACAGGCGGTCGGAGTGGGTGTGCCTGCGCTCACCCTCCTGGTCAGCCTCTTTCTCCATCTCCAGAACCTTCTCCTGAACGAAGCTCAGCAGCTCTGTGGTGTTGGCCATCCACAGTATGAGCGGCCGCAGCTCCACAGACACAGCCTCGGGAGTCAGAGGCTCCTCGGGAACGCCCTCTGGGTGGCTGAGGAAAGAGCAGGGATCCCTGTGACTTGCTCAACCCTTAACAGAAAGACCAAACTCCAAAGCTTGAGTTTCCCGACTCGCAGGCGTCACAGAACTTGTACTAAGGCAGCATGGAGAGCCGAGCTGAGCCCCAACCCCGTGAGCCTCCAGGCCTGGGGGCCCCAGCTTTCTCTTACTTCTCTGGCTGGCGGTCTCCAATTTCTTTAATTTTTTCCTGTAGAACAGTAAGATAAGAAGCAATGTAAGGGGCTGGATTGTGGAGATCGGGACTGTACAATTGGCTTGCCCTAAAAGCACCTTTCTTGAGCGTGTGCCTGCCGGGCAGCTTTGCCAGTGTTTGCATATGTGTGCACGTGGAGTCTGTGTGGAGGCCTGAACTCGTTCATGCCGTCTGTCAGTCTTCCTTCCTCACTCTGCACTGCACTGAAGCAGGGGCTCTCTCTGAATCTG